TGTAGATTTCTATTCCGTCTATTTCTGATACTTTGAATTCGGGCGGTCTTCGGTTAGCAATTTTTTATAGTATTCTTGCCATTCGTTTTCTTGTTGACCGCTCTTGATTTTCTCTGTCTTATTTCTTTGGAGCGACTTTAAGATGCGCCATGACTCTGAATTTCTCGTTCCTCTATGTGCTGTTCTACCTCTGTGCATGTTTTTTCCCATCTTTCATTTTTTTCATTTGCCACTTTTCTTTTCACTTCTTATTTTTTTTCCTGTATAGTTCCAAGTCCTCATAGTTTTTTGTGTTCAGGTATTTTATATGGAGTTCTTTTTTCTCTTTTATGCATGTTAGTGCGTCTTCGGTTAATTTCGTGGTTTGGTGGGTGTATTTTTGGTCCACTTCTCCAAGAGCTTCTAGGGCTGCTGTCTTCATGCAGGTTTTTATGTGTTCGTATGTTTGTTCTAATGATTCATACCGAAACTCTTCTAGCTTTTGGTCCAATCCTCGCTTATATAGGTCTTTTATTTAGTCTTCTTCTAATAAATTGATTTTGAATTTCTTTTCTTGTGTTGAGCACGTATTGACAGGTGTAGCCGGAGCCGTAACTTGGCCCGACTCTCCCTGGGTCGGTTTCTGTTGGGCCCATATGAAGGGAATTCCATCCAAGCGATTACTAGTTTGTGATCTGTGCCGCATTCTGCGCCTCGCTTTACTCTCACGTCTTTTATTTTTATCGAGCTTTCGTGGTTTACTATAACATAATCAATAATAGACCTCAATTTTCTCGTTTCTTGTGTCCAAGTGTATTTGTGTAGGTCTTTATGTTTGTAGAAGCCGTTTGTGATCTTTAAGTGGTTTATTTCGCATAGATCAATCAATCTCTCCCCGTTATCGTTCATTATATCTTCTCCAAATCTACCAACTGTTCTGTCGTTTTCTTTTCTTCCTGTTCTTCAATTTAGTTCACCGGCGATAATTATTTCTTGTTTCTTCTTTCTCTTTTCGATTTTTTCTTGCAGTATGAATACTGTATAGGAACAGTTAGAAATTTCAGAAAACAAAAGTTATGTGTAATTTTTGCACACAGTCTATGTATATGCAAGCACTCTGTATTGTTATCAATATATGCTTCAAACGTGTATATAATAACCAATTAACAACCTATAGCTATCAGCTAAACAGTTTACGAGTAATTATATGTCTATTAATGAAGTAAATAGTACCTTATTACACAAATAATACTAAACTGATAATTTGTTAGAATGAAATGTGCCTTAATAATTTAAATTGATCTGCCATGTAGCTTCATATGACACAAACCCACGTTTCTAATTAAACACGTATAGGATATCTCGAAGCATCATTCTCTATTGCAATTTCTGTGGCATCTTAAATTACGTTTATTAAAACATCAATAAAATAAACAAATTTTGTTTTGTTACTAAATATACGATCAATCACATACCCCAAAAATAGTCATTCCTACCCAAACCGCTAACCTTTATAACTATGCACCAGATTAATCATGTAGAGCTACAAAACAAGCTCCTTGACACTTTAATGTACAAATTAGAAATAAAGACGGAACTCATAGAAGCTACAAAAGATCTGAAAAGAAAATTAGAATACAGAAGAATAAAGAAAATTAAGTGTCCATTAAAATGGGAACAACAATCACAGGAAGACTTCACCACAACAAAAGGGCTCCTGCAAGGTTGTTTCCACATCTCCAACCCTATTCAAAATATACTTGACAGAGAACTCCTTGACTACATGGAAAAGAAAATGCGAAGGCACGGGAGTACCGGTACGAATCGAATACCTATATACGTTACTTTGAGACTGCACTATTTGAAGCTACGAGATCAAGTAGTGATTGCACAAGACCAAGAAGACCTCAGTTACACGATGAAGAAACTATAAGAAGAATATACCAAGGCTGGCCTAGATATTAACCTCGCGAAAACAGAGTACCTATTTACAAGTGAATAAGACATAGAGATCTACAGATTAACGACACAACGTAACGTAAAGAAAAGATAAATTCAAATACTTGGGTTTATAATCACGAAAAAGGCAAAAACAGAGGAAGAACTTAAGCAAAGATTGGACAAACAAAAACAGCAATCAGACAACTTAACTCAGTATGGTGGATATACACCTAAATATGAAGGCAACAACACAGCTTATAAAAACATTAGTGTGAAGTATTATGACATATGGGCTGAAAATTTGATTATAAATAAGAAAAACAGCAGTAAGATAGTAGCAACAGAGATGGAATGTCTGCGAAGATGCTGCAGAGTAACAAAAATGGATAGGAGAAGTAATGACGAAATAAAGTAAAGAACATCAATAGAAACAGACATACTAACATATACAGAGTGGCCCAACAGTGGAAACGGCTAATTATCTCGTAAATTACTAGACATAATTATACAAAATTTGAGATACGCCTACTTTGGGATACGGAGATTCCATATTTGGTATTTGCAATGTTGTCAGATCTTCAGTTTCTCTTATATTACTAGTAACTTTGGTTTTTCAAATGCATACCCTGTATATTCAGTCATTGTTGGAATCTCCTATTAAATACGATTTCAACCATATGTAACACTTATGATTTTATGTAGTCTGGAAGGTCTTAAATACATAAAACAGAAGTCTGGCAACGCCTAAATTGTTTCAATACATTTTTTAATACTAAATATTTTCAAATACATTAAAAAGTAACAATTGATACTTTAGAATATTTTTTAACATAATAGTTACGTTATTAAGTGTTCAAAATGTGCTCCATTTGTGAGTTGACAGCACTCTAATCGATGGTAGAATGCGTCTACCACATTTCTCCATGATTGTCTAGAAATTATTCGAGATTCATCGATAATTCATTGCCTTAGCTATGCAAGACTTGCTGGTTAAGTTTTGTAAACTGAATTTTTCAAGTATCTCTAATAAAAATAATTTTTAGGATTGAGATCGGGTGAACGTGAGGCCATTCAATTCTACCTTGTCTACCAATTTATCGTCCGGGGAATATCTCATCTAAATAACGCCGAACATTTACACCAACTATCTGACGTTAAATTTCTTTCGATAAAAAATGGCCCTATTAAATAAGTACCTACTATAACTGACCACACATTTAATTTTTGTGGTCTTAAAAAGTTCTGCAATTTAAATTGCTTATCTAAAATGCCGTTCTCTAAACCGTTTCCTATTCATAAGACGACGGTACAAAAAACTGTAAGGGGATTTGAGGAATCTGGAGAAGTAAAAGATAGATACCGATCAGGTTGACCGAAACGAGTTATCAATGACAACAAAACTTCAGATATAAGCAAAGTTTTGTTGAAGATCCACATACATCCCCAGGCATGGTTGCACAAGTACATGATGTAGGTCATTCTTCAGTCTTACGTTTATTACGTAAAAATAAATTTAAATCATACAAAATTAATTTATTGCAAGAATTAAGTGAAGATGACTTTGGTCGTAGATTAGAGTGTACTGAGGTAAGGATGGATAAAATTGAAAATTATTAAAATTTCGTTAACAGAATATGTTTTTCCGATGAAGGAACTTTTACACCGTGTGGAAGTGTAAATCGACACAATTTAAGGTACTGGTGTGACGTAAATTCACACTGAAGACTGAATGCCTGAAAAGCATACTCAAAGACCACCAAAATTAAATGTATGGTCAGATATAGTAGTTACTTATTCAATTGGGTCATTTTTGTCGAAAGAAATTTAACGTCAGATAGTTGGTGTAAATGTTCGGCGATATTTAGATGAGATATTTCCTGAACGATAAATTGGTAGACAAAGTAGAATTGAATGGCCTCCACGTTCACCCGATTTCAATCCTAAAGATTATTTTTATTAGGGATACTTGAAAAATTCAGTTTACAAAACTTAACCAGCAAGTCTTGCAGAGCTATGGCAACGAATTATCAATGAATCTCGAATAATTTCTAGACAATCATGGAGAAATGTGGTAGACGCCTTCTACCATCGATTAGGGTGCTGTCAACTCACAAATTGAGCACATTTTGAACACTTAATAACGTAACTACTATGTTAAAAAATGTTCTAAACTATCAATTGTTACGTTTTAATGTATTTGAAAATAGTTAGTATTAAAAAATTTATTGAAACAATTTAGGCGTTGCTAGACTTCGGTTTTATGTATTTATGACCTTCCAGATTACATAAAATCATAAGTGTTACATATGGTTGAACTCGTATTGAATAGGAGATTCCAATAATGCCTGATTATACAGGGTGATGTATTTGAAAAACCAAAGTTACTAATAATATACGAAAAACGGCAAATCTGGCAATATTGTAAATATCAAATATGGAATCTCCGTATCCCAAAATAGGTGTACCTCAAATTTTGTACAAATATGATTAGCATTTACGAGATTATTAGCTGTTTCCAGACTTTTGGGCCACTCTGTATAGAACAAAAAAGACTAAAGTGGAATGGGCATGTAAGAAAAACTAGCGACAGCAGATAGATAAAGGAGAATCTCCGAATGGAGCCCCATAGGAAGAAGGAAAAGAGGACGATCCCGAAGATCCTGGAGGAACGAAGTAGACGACGCAATGAGTAAGAGACTCCTAAACGATATATATATATATATATATATATATATATATATATAATATATATATATATATATATATATATATTATATTCAATTAATTGGATACTTATCCCCGACTCATTCTCACTTGATATCTCCATGTGTCCTTTGCCGAGTGGAAGTTGACAATGATTATTTGATATTCTTCTCTATTTCGAGCTAATGGTAATAATGAGCTATTATTGTTTTTGGTAGGTTAATTTAGAATATTAATGGCAACATTAATATTAAAATTATAAATATTAATTATCTTAAAAATATAAAATATTTACGAATATTGAGACCAGGCATTTTAATAGAATATGTTATAAATAAAAACCCGGATCTTTAAATCGGCATTAATATTTCACTTACCCTGCTCCGGTTAAAGCACAACACGACTGTATATGCCATTGTTGTTGCTTAATGGAGGTCAAATCTAATTCTTTCGAAATCTCCGACGCTGACATTGAACCTTTAACATCCTGTTTATTGGCATAGACTAAAACACCTGCTTTTGATAATTCTTCATTAGCTAACATTTTGTACAATTCTTCTCTTATTACAGACAATCGTTCTTTGTCTGTTGAATCGACTACTACTATAACGAACTGGAATAAAAAAATAATTTTGTAATTAAAGTTTTTATTAATTTTAATGTTAAAATTATAACTCCAATATGTATATATACATTTAGGTGCAATGAAAATTTTGATTTGTAAATTTAATTAAATAATTAAAAACTGCGAAGAAGAAGAACTATTACTTTCAAGAAACTATTATTTCAACTTTCATAACAAACTTATGGAAATAACCATCGAGCAAAAAGACAGAAGAGGGAATGTAAAGGTAGTGGGGACAAAAATATAGTTAGACGGGAAGTGCCATTTTGAGAGGCCACATTAAACAAGGAAATAAAGTCTCTTTCCTTGTTTTAAGAAATCAAATTTAGTTAGGTTATGTTATTGTTTGTCCTAAATGTCACATGAAATCTTTATATTGAAGTTTTTTAACAATTGTGTCACAATTTAGACTATTAACATTAATATTTAATTAAAACTTTATCGTCTAAGACACATTCTGAAAAATATTTTATAGCTATTGTTAATAAGTGTCGGACAATTTAAATTTGGCGCCTTTGCATTTCCGGATATGTCCGCCATATTAAAAGGCCACTTTTATGAATGTTGGTCTCCTTTTCATAACGATTAGATTCCCTCTTTTGTCTTTTTACTCGATGGAAATAACTGAAGGATAAGAAACCTCTGAAAAATAAAAACACCATAACGTGTCACAAATTCTGGAAAACGCGTGTACTAAATCTTTTCTTTGATAATTATAATTTGGAGGTTAATAAAGAAAATGAGGACTTGACTACATACTATTAAAGTCGAATACGTGATCAAAAGTTTAAAAAATAATAAGAGAGTCGTATCCGATAACGTAAATTCAGAAATACCTAACACCTACGTAAACTGTAAACAATATATAGCATGCTAGACCTGGGGAACCGTCTACACCCAAAAATAAAAATAAACACTGGACTAAATGTAATGAAGCTATGCATACAGCGGCTTAAGCGTTTTAAAATCTAACCAGGCCAGAAGAAATGAAGACTGGTTCAACGAAGAATGTAGATTTATTAGCCAACAAAAAAATGAAGCATATACGAGACTCCAGCAGCACGGAACGAGATTAACTCTGGAAGAGTATGAAGACACAAGAAAAAGAAACGTTTAGAAGAAAAAAGAAAGAGCAATACGAAAATGTTCTAAACGAGATTGTAACCACCATAACAAAAAAAACTCAAGGAGATTTTATCAACAGATAAACAACCGTAGAAACGAATTCAAACCCAGAATAATGGCACGTAAAGATAGGATGATTCTGTAATTAGTGACAATAATGTACTTTAACAGATAGGCGAATCATTTTGAAAAAAAAAACCACACCATAGAAAATGTTACGAGTACGAATTCAGGAGATGTTACAACTATCTCAAACTTTTAAAACAAAGAACGGACTGCGTCAGGGAGACTCCCTCGCGCATATATACTGTTCAATCTAGCTCTGGAAAAAGTAATACCTATGTCACAAATCACAAGCATTGGTTCATATAGAATAAATCAGTGCAAATACTTGCCTATGCTGATGATATCAATATTGTTGTGAAAACGGAAAACACGGCACGAGAGGCGTATGTAGCATTAAAAAAATCAGCTACAATAATGGGTTTAATAATAACCACCAACAAAACGAAGTACATGAAGATAAGCACGCAACCACAAATCCTGTGACCACTGGTTATAGAAAACGGACGTCATCAAATTTGTATACCTGGAAGCGCTCCTTATTGAAAATCATAAACAGCAGAGATAAACCACAGAATTTGCACGGCTAATAGACGCTATTTTGGGCTCAATCTCCTTCTTAAATCCACAATTATATCGAGAAATACAAACATAAAACTACAAAACAATAATAGACCCAGTCTTAACATATGGTTCAGAGATCTGGACTATAACAAAAAGTAATGAAAACATGTTAAGATGTTTCAAAAGAAAAGTACTAAGGCGAATCTATGGAGCGGTGAATGATAATTAAGTGTGGAGAAGACGATACAACTTCGAACTTTATAGAATACATCAGGAACCAGATATCATAAAACATCTTAAGATAGGAAGTCTGAGGTGGATAGGGCATGTAATGCCCTAGAGAACAATATTCCTTGATAACATCGATGAAGATATGAGAAATATAGGACTACGATAGGAACGACTGAATAGAAATTCTTGAGGGGACTAGGACCCACGTAGGGTTGTGATGATAGAAAATGTTGTATACCTGGGCCAAGTTATCAAACTGGGAAAACTAAATCCAAGATGCTGAAATTAAAAGAACTTAACTAATATAGACCGCTTTCGATAAACTAGAATAAATCTTAAAAAAACATCTACATTCTCATAAACTTAAAGAAAAATGTGTGTAACACGCATCCTACCAGTTTATACCTCAAGTATGGAGACCGTAGACCTTACCAGGAAATCTGCTAAAAAAAACTAAAAACAACGCAAATGCCAATGCAACAAAACATGCTCACAATATCACTTAGAGACAATATTAAAAACACCGAGATAAGGCATAGAAAGAATATCAGGGATATCGTGAAAGAAATTACAAAAATGAAATGAAGCTGGGCCGGTCACATAGTCAGATCTGATGATAACAGGTGGACACAGAAAATGTAAGAATGGAGACCAATAAGAACGACAAGAAGCAAGGGAAGACCTCAAAAGAGATAAGTAAATGACGTAAGAGCAGTTGCAGTCAAACATAGACAACCATAGACGCAATTGGGAGAGACATACATTCAGGAGTGGATGGAAAATGGTTGAAGAAGAAGAAGTAAGTCTTTCCATATTCGTTTCGGGTCTAACTGAAATGTCATTCTGAATTTTTTCTCTCTTCAATATTTGAGCATCTACACGTTCTCCTGATAAAATACTAATGCAACTAGGAGTTATTTTGATATGCAAACCAATAACTAAAAAAAACTTTCTATTCTGGTTCGAAATCATCAATATTATAAACGGTGATTCATTTAGAGGTACTTTTTTTGATGGGGATTTGATTGTAGATCGTGCATGAATACTGTCAAACTGACATTTCGCTTTTGTTCAGTATTGTTTGACATTTCAACATGGAAATCGACGCAATTCAACCCGAAAGCTTGGTCAGTTTAATATTGATTTTTGTAATAGTTTTAGGTTTACTTGTACTAACTGCGGAAATTATATATATATATATATATATAATATATATATATATATATATATATATATATATATTAGCTAACATGTTCCTTTTCTAATTTGGGCTGCACCGTAGTGATAACGAACAAATAGTCAGAAATACTTATTTACGGTTGCCTTATTTACTTCCATTCTAAATTAAGCTATCACCTAGCGATTGATTCAATTAGAAACAAGTAAAAACATAAAGAGAAAAAAGATGAATTGGTTAAATGACTTTTATTACTTTTGACGAAAATAATTTTCTCAATGAGTTTTGACAGTGATTAAGAAATAAATTTATAACATTTACACGCAATCCTAAAATACCATAAAACCAAAATGTTATGAAATAATTGATAAGAAATGAAATAAACCAGTTATTAAATTTAATCAATTATTTATATTTCGTTTCATAATGACATCGTATTATGTTTGCAAAGCTATGTCTGCATGAGTATAAAGTTTATAAAAAGGATGTTGTGTCTAAAATAACAAATAAGCTACGTGGTGCATCTTCGTTAAATACCTTAACTTAAAAAAATGAAGTAAATAATGAATCTGGTATGGTTTTTGCTCAGAAGTTGCAAAATATGCTAGCACAAGAACCACTGCACAAAGTGCCCCGATTCACCAGGTTTCTTTGTGTGTGTGCTTGTGTGGAAAAATGCTTTGAAAAATATCAATATACAGTGGAACTCGCTTATTACGGCCTCGGTAGTTACGTCATCTCGGTTATAACGTCAATTTTTAATAGGGTCCGGTCAAAAACTATTTCATAACGTTATTAAAAACCCGGTTTTATCGGCTAAAAATAAACTAACCCTCGGTTATAGCGTCATAAAATTTTATAGTAGGTTATCCTTTTTTTATTTTATGAAGAATAAAGTGCAATGCGTTTCTGGCTTTGCGGCATTTGTTCCTTCCAAGAATGTAAGAAAGGTCCATTATCCCTTCTGTGTACAGTTATGTTACCCTGACAATCTATAATTTCGCATTTATCAGTGCCGTCCTAACACTCCTAACAGTCAAATTTTCTGTTTCGGAACAGTCGGTTTAAGAAATTTCGCTACCGTGAAATTGTGTTCGGATCGTTTTGTTTTTTTTTTATTTTAATTTGGTAATTAGCTTTTATTTTTTAATATGGCAAGTTGTAGCACTAAAAGGAAGGTTTTGCCTATTAAAGAAAAAGTGCGTGTTATAAGAGCATTTGAAAGTGGTCGAAAAATTGCTGATGTATGCCGGCAATTTGGACTTGTTAATTCGACTGTCGGCTCAATCATAAAAAACAAAATTTTAAAAGCCTTTAAAGAGGACGGAAACAATGTTAAAAAGATTAGAAGTGCATTTGTGGTGATGTAGATTCAGCTCTACTCAAATGGTTCAAGCAGTGTCGCAGTTCTGATATCCCTGTGTCCGGGCCACTTTTAAAGGAGAAAGCTACAGATTTCGGAAAATTGTTTGGTGAAGATTTCACATGCTCTAACGGCTGGTTAGATCGGTTTAAAGCCAGGCACTCAATTTCCTTCTCGAAAATTGTTGGAGAGGCAAAATGTGTGGACGAGAACGTAACAAGTGACTGGTTACAAAACACATGGCCACAACAAAGGCAACCATACAAAGATGAAGATATCTTTAATGGTGACGAGACAGGTGTCTTTTATAAATTAACGCCAGACAAAACTTTAAATTTCAAAAATCAAAAATGTGTCGGTGGAAAACTTTCCAAGCAAAGAGTGACGGCTTTTGTTTGTGCAAATATGACAGGTACAGAGAAAAGAAAGCTTCTGGTTATTGGGAAAAGTTTACATCCTAGATGT